GGGTCGCTTGGCTCTCAGAGTATCAAGCATTAGTTATTTTGCGAAAAATGTAAATGACATCTTCAACAGAATGAAAAAAAAAAATAATATGCCGAGGAATATGTTACATGAGTTATAATTGTCCTTAACGGAAGTTGCCTGCTGGGATTGCGAATAGGTATAAATGTGTCGCAACAAATTATCTGTAGTAATAGTAGAAGTAGTACCAGAAGTCTTACTACTACTACTACTACCACTACTACAACCACAACTACTACTTTTCACTTACCTGAAGGAGGCGCGGGAGGGGACCTTTCAAGATATCGGTCTGTCCCTCATGTCATGGTGTTGTCTCAAATACCCTTACAAACAACAGGGTTTCAACGATGAGTTTTTTAAGGGTTGTGTCACCCTTCTCGCCCGGTGCGTTGGCCCGCTGTCCTGCCGGAACAATGGAGAGGCACTGTGTCATTAGTGGTGCCATGTGAGTGCCAGAGAGCCCTTATTAGAGCCCTGTTTCATGCGTGGTGAAATGAGGTTATGATATGAACGTCTCTTCTTAATACTACAACTACATGCTATTGTGATGTGGAGGACGATGTGGAGGGGAAGGAGGAAGAGGAGGGGGAGGAAGAATGGAAGGAAGAGAAAAAGGAATAACATGAAAAGGAGGAGCAGGGATAATAGAAGAAAAGGGAGATAAAAGAGGAGGACGAGGGGGAGAAGGAAAAAAAGGATACTGCTAAAGATGATGATGATAATAACCCTCTTGTAAATATTATCATCTCTGTCTTGTTTCTTCATCAAGAAAGTGGTAAAAAAATATGATGGAAGTAATGATAATGATGAATTTGTTATGAAGATGATAGCAATAACACGAAATTAAAATGAAAGTAGCATTGATGATGATAATGATAATGTCGTTGCTACTGCTGGTGATGATAATGATAATGATGATGATGATAGTGGTGATATCAATAACAGCAATAATAATAGAAAGAAAAATATCAATAATAACATTGATAATTTCGTTAATATTAATGAGTAACAGTAATGATAATATTAATGATAACGATAACATGATAACAACAATAATAATAGTAATAGTAATAATGCTGTAGCTGAAGATAACAATAGCAATGATAACATACAAACAAATAATATTGATAATAATATTAATATCAATAATCATAACAATAATAACAACAACAATAATAATGATAATGATAATAATAATAATATTAACAATAATAACAAGAATGATAATAAAAATTATAGTAATAATAATGATAATGATGATGTTCTTGATGTTGATATGATGATAATGATGATGACGATGATGATAATAATAATGATAATAATAATAATAATAATAATAATAATAATAGATGATGATGATAATGACAGTAATGATAATAATAACAATAAAGATGATATCAACAATAACAACGGAAATCTACATCCCACAACACAACAACAAACACAAAATATCCATTTCATAATCATAAATTAAGCATCCAAACGACAAAAAAATCCTCCCGTATTATTTTATTCACACGGTGTTGATGTGGCGCCGGAAGAGACACGTTACTTAAGACGCATTACTTATAAAATCGCGTCACAAGAACTTCGTTATAAGTGAGACGGCGTATGAGTATGAGGGAAGGAGAAGTGGGGGAAAATGCGTGGTGCAGAGGAGCCAAGGTGGTGGTGGTGGTGGGGTGGTGGGGTGGGGTGGGGGTGGGGGTGATGGTGGTGGTGGTGGTGGTGGTGGTGGTGGTGGTGGTGGTGGTGGTGATGGTGGTGGTGGTGGTTGGTGGTGGTGGTGGTGGTGATGGGTGGTGGTGGTGGTGATGGGTGGTGGTGATGGTGGTGGATGGTGGTGGTGGTAGGTGGTGGTGTGGTGGTGTGGGGTGGTGATGTGGTGGTTGGTGGAGGTGGTGGTGGTGATGTGGTGGTGGTGGTGGTGATGGTGGTGGTGGTGATGGTTAGGGTGGTGGTGATGAGGTGGTGGTGGTGGGTGAGTGGTTGGTGGAGGGATCAGGTGGAAGAGGAAGGACAGAGACGAGGAGCGAGAGAGGGAGAGGAGATGACGAGAGAGAGGAGAGAGAGAGACGAGAGACGACTGAGAGAGAGAGAGATGTGATCCGTATTTATATATAAATATAAGTATTATAAATTATAATATAATATATAATATAAAATATATCATAATATATATATGGATATTTAATATGTTATATATATTAAAGGTAATGGTGGTGGATGGTGGTGATAGTTGGGTTGATGGTGAGTTATGGTGATTGGTTGATGGTTTAGGTACTAGTTGGTGGATGGTGGTGGGTTGGTGGTAGTAGTAGGGTTTAGGTTTGGATTAGTGGTAGCAATTGTGGTGGTTGGTTGGTTGGTGATGGTAATTTAGTTGTTGGTAGTGGTTGATGGTAGGTTATGGATTATGGTGATTGGTGGTTATAGGTGATAGTGTAGGTGGTGATGGTGGGTGGTGTTATGGTATTGAAGTAATTAGTGTTAGTTATTGATATTGGTGGTGGTTTTATTATATGGCTTGGATGATGGGGTGGTGAATGATTTGATTTGTTTTGGTGTGGTGGTGGTCTGGTGGTGGTGAGGTGTAATATGGTTGGTGGGTGTTAGAGGTTGGTATGGTGGTATGGTGCGTGATAGGTGCGTGTAGTGATAGTGATGGTTAGGTGGTTTATAAGCTTAGGTGTAATGATGGTGGTGTGGTGTGATGGGTACTTATTAGGTAAGTGGTGATTAGATTAGGTATAGGTGATGGTATATATATATATATATCTGTTGGTTTTAGGTTGATGGTTTTATATGGTGTCTATAATAGGTTTAGGTAGATGAATGGTTATATATAAACTATATATATATATATATATACCATAAAATATATATATAAATATTATATATATATATATATATATATATATAATATTATATATTATATATATATATATATATTATATATATATATATATATTATAATATATATTTATAATATTATATATTAATATATATATACATATATACATATATATATTATATATATATATATATATAATATATATATATATATATAATATGCATATATATATACATATATTAGTATACATATATATATATATATATTATAACGGTAGGTTGGTGATATGATATGGATTGAATGGTTAAGGTTGATGATGTAATGGTTAGGTGTATATTATGTGATTAATGCATAAGGTAAATATATAAAGTGATAGGTGTAAAATGGTTGGTGCTATTATTATGAAGTGAATTAGATTGGTATGGTAAGTATGTGTGTATAATGGTAGGTGGTGGTAATTATATAGTTTATTAAGATTATGCGATTGAAAATGATGATTAGGTCGGTGATGGATATATATATAATGGTGGGTTAGGCTTAGGCTATATATATGAGTTTAATTGATGAGTATATAGGTAATTGGTAGATGGTTATGGTTTAGTGATGTAGACTTTAGGTATAGTATTGAGTAAGTAGTATAATAGTAGTGGATTAGATGGTATGAATAGGTTAGAGTAAGATGATTATGGATATATATATTGAGTGAGGTAGTGTATATATTGTAATAAATAGTTATATATATTACATAATATATATATATATATTATTATATATTATTATATATAGCAGGTAGTTTATAGTAGTAGGTATTAGTGTGGGTTTTATATGGTTAGTTTAAATATATATGTGTGTTCTGGTGTATCATGACTAGGTGTACAATTAGGTTGATAGGTGGGTATTACAGGTTATTGAGTTGGGTTGGTGGTTTATGGTGGTAGGTTATAGGTGATTGGTTATTATAGCTGATGTAGTTTGGTGGTTATATGAGTAGGTTAGTATAAGTGATTGGTGGTATATAATGTAGTCTATAGGTATATATTATTAATAGACAGATGATTTGAGTGATGGTTAGATCATATGGTTGATGGTGATATTATTGGGAGATAGTGGTGCGTTGGTGGTACAGGTGTTTGATGATGGTGAGTTCGGTGCTGCTTGGTTGATGGTGGGTAGGTTGTGGGTGGTGATGGTGGTGGTTGTTGGTGGTGGTAATGATGTGTTAAGCGGTGGGTTGGTGCGTTGAATGATCGGTGTGATAATGGTAGTGGTGGGTGATTGAATCGGTAGAGTGTGCTGGTGATGGTGGTAGGTTGGGTTAGCATGATTGTGAACGGTGCTGTCTCCCGAGTTCGTTAGGTGGTGTGGTGTGTGGTGGTGGTCCTGGTCGTGGTGGTTATGGGATGTGTCACGGTGGTGATGGTCATTGGTGCGTGATGGTGACAGGGTGGTATTGTGTGTTGGTTTGGGTTATGATGATCGGTGGTGGTGGTCTGGTTGGAGTTGGTGGCTGGGATAACAGTACGCGTAAGTGGATGATGGATGGTGGTTAGGTGACTAGGTAGTGTGGTTGGTGGTGTTCAGTGGTGGTGCATGATGGTGGTGGTCTGTGGGTGGCCCTGTGTGGTGATGATGTGTGGGGTCGGTGATGGTGATGATGAAATGGTGGTGATGATGATTGGTGGTTGGTGTGATGAATGGTGGTGAGGTATTGATGATGGTGGTCGGTGTGAGTGGAGGTCACAGGGTGGTGGTGAGGGTGATGATTGTTTAGTGGGGTGAATGGTGATTGGTGGTTGTGGGTGGGTCGTTGGTGCTGCGTGTGGTGGTTGGGTGATGCGTTGGTGGTGGCACGGTGTATGAGATGGTGGTGGTGATTGAGTGCATGGTTTGGGTGGTGGTGATGATATGGTTGGGTTAGTGGAGGTGAGTGTCGTTGGTGGGTGTTTGGTCGGTGATGGTGGTTGGGTGTGCATGACGGTAGAGTGGGATCAGGTGTTGATGGTGGTGGTTGGTGATGGTGGGTGGTTGGTAATTGTTGTGTGTGTGATTAGGTCTCGCGTGGTGGTGGTGATTTGGGTGGTGAATAGTCGGTTGTGGTTGATTGATGACCGGTGTGGTGGATGGTGGTTGGGGTGATGGTACGGTCTTGGTTGTGATGGTGGGTGTAAGGTGGGTGGCTCTATCTGGTGGTTGTGATCGGTTGGTGGTTATTGTGGTGTTGGTGATGGTGGTGGTTTTATGTGGTGGTTGGGTGATGACGACGGTGGTGGGTGGTCAGGTAATGGTCGTAGCAGTGGTGTAGGTGGATGGTGGTATGGTGGTCTGGTAGGTAGTGGGTGTTGATTTTGGTGGTGTGGTCGGGGTGGTGAGATGTGGTGGTGTGATGTGATAATGGGTACGAGGTGGTGGTGTGGTGAGTTCGGTTTGGTGTTTGGTGTTGGTGCGAGATTACATAGGTGAATGTGAGGTGGCGTTATGGTGAGTTTGTTTAGAGGTGGCCCGTAGATAGGTTGGAGTGGTTAGGATAGAATAGATAGGTTGATTGGTG